AAATTTAAAAAAACTCGGAAAAGCTACAAACTTGGAATTTTCTGCAACGTCTTTTTTACCACGTTTTCGTTGATGATAAGACTTTTGTGTTATATTATGCGTGTTTTAAAACTAAAGGAATATTTTTATATTAGAAGACGATATATAAGGTTATTGAGTAGGGTAAGTTGGGAATTCTTTGACCGCAAACCATTCAGATAACAGAAGTTTTTTTTTATTCATGTGTATTAATAAATTTATCATTACACATTCTAATACAAGAGCTTATGGTTTATTGAAATCAAACTAAAATTATTAGAGGTACAGTCTTGGCCAAAATGTTTGCATACTGTTCTATATTTATTGATCTTATTATCTACACACATGGAGTAGTTATTGAGTGAATACCCGAGTAGTAACAAAGAAGGTGGGGTATGATTGGACAAACATGAATGAGTAGTTATTCTGGTCTGTATAAGTGTTTGCATCTTTTGCTGGTATTATATCGAATTCATATACTATCCATCTCGCATCTTCTAGACAAACCTAGATTGTTAAAATCAGACATTTCTCCATATGAACATAAAGCACTAAAACTATTAAAAAGTGACGAAGGTATAATTTTACTGACAAAGGTAAAGCTGCTGTTATCATGGATTGGATAGTATATCAGCAAAATAATGCATACACCCCTCGATGATTGATCTCATTTCCAAAAAATGGAAACTAACTTAACCCCTTCCCGAGAATAGGAATTAAAACAATATATTTTACAATTAGAAAGAACTACTCAACTTTCTACTGGTATATATTAATTTCTTCGTCCTTCCGACTTCCGTACTTCTCAAATTTATGGTCTCCTAAAAATTAAAAAAACAACCTGATTTCCTCTTACGTCCTATTGTTTCGATATATAAAGCTTACAGTTACAACTTAGGAAAATTCCTCATGTAAATATTTTCTAATTATTCTTGTGCTTCCTCCTTCATAAAAAATTATGGAATGTTTATATAAAAAAAACTAAGAATTTACTCACTTACTTCAATTAGTCACATTTGGTGTAAAAAATCTGTTTACTCAAGTCCCCATTCTTGAAGCAATGAATGCTGCTCTGGAATGTTACCAAAACGATTCTAATCCTCGTTTTTGATTAAACATCGACACTATAAGAAAATTATTTCTTCTTGCCACTATATCTTCCAGTTTGAAGGTGTGAATTATATTAAAATTAACGGCCTAAGTATGAGAAATCCTGTAGCTCCATTACTTGCCAATAAATTGATCATAAGAACTACCATCTCAAATTCACTTTATAAACCTTTTTTTTTAATTATGACATTGTTTAGCCTTCTATAACCTTAACGTTATTCACGAGTTTGTTACTCATCTGAACCAAATATACCCAAACATAAAATTCACGATGGAAAAAGAAGTTGATGACAAATTGTCATTTCTAAATGTTCTTGTTAAAAAGACAAATACGGGCTTCAAACCCCCTTATTTCGTAAGAACACTCACACTGGTCTTTGTGTTCCTTGGAATTTTCTTCATGACCAATGCCAAAAGCTAGCTATATTAATAAGTGCTGTTCGTATAAATATAATCAAAAGTTCCAACATCGATTGTTTCAAAAAAGAAAACCTTGAATTTCAGTTCTGTGTACAAAATAATTTCCTTCCCACTGTTGTTAATAAAGTAATTGCTTATTTTGAAAATAAACCACAAATTGACAGAGAAAATGGTTCTTCCGAAGATGTCCTTGTCACTTGTATTTTACCATTCATCTCAAAGTTATCTCAAGCTATCAAAAAATCAGGTTAAAAACAGCCAGAGATTATAAAGTTGAAATTAAATTACAATTTACATTTTTATCTGGAAAAAAGCGAGGTCAACTGTTATCCGAAAAGTATATGGATAATTATACTTCAGGAAATGTGCATACAATTAAATTTACAGATTACACGAACTGTTATATTGGTGAGACAAACAGGCAGCTTTCTACTCCTTTGTTTGTGTGAACATTTAAAATCTCCATCTCATGTTTTGAACACATATATAGGAATAATCAATCATTCTTTTGATTCTTCTCGGGTAAAAATCCTCAGCAGAAATACAACATTAATAGAAGAAAAATAAAAAAGCACCCCTGTTAATAAAAAAACATAACCCTATTCTTAACAAATACAAAGGCGTTCATTTATATCTACTTCCCCTCTCTCTTGTATGTAGAACGAATTTCAATACTTATACTCAGGTCTAAAAGTTATATTTATTATACCTAATTTTCACAATTCATTGATAAATTACTTCATTGCTCTTAATTGGTTAGTCGAATGCTTGTAGATTACTATTGTTATAGATTCTCACGAGATTCTTTTTATACTAAATTCTGTTAGCCTCAGTTCTTGTATCCAACCTCATTATGACAGGTAAACCTGATGAAACGTTTTAAATAAAATAAACAAAAGTAGTATTATGTACAACCGATAAAAACGTGTGTGAATTCATCTGTTCATTGCAGTGAAAGGTGTCAATGCATATTACTGTATTCATCAGTGCAAAATCAATATGGAGCCTGGCCATATCTTCCTTCTTTCTGACAATTACTAAAAGCTCTATGAGCCCATCCTTTCACTTCGATAGTATTTCAGCATTAACTACATTCCTAGTACTCCAAGGAAATATGTGTGGTGATTGTGATGGACGTATATCATCTGTATCTCAGTAATGTTGGGTGACTGACCGTTATTCGACCTAATTAACCATCTGGTCTCACAAACACATCTACATATTCACTCATTAAGTTGCTGCCATTGCACTGAGTCTAGATTATTTGCACAATCCTCAACTAGCATCTTAGATGTGTTGTTAACTGTGTACTCGCTTTTAGACATGGCGTGATTAATGCAACCTTAGCTTTACAACTAGTCTCAGTTATTCTCACTTTTTTCACCTTAGTAATGACCATTTCAGCAGGAAACTCAATAATTGATTGCCCATGATAGCAGGACAACACTAGAACTTCACCCTTCTTGGGACACATAAATGTTTGAGCTAATTCTGCTTGATTTTTGGACAGGTAAATTTACATTTCATATATGGGCTTTATTACCAGCATCAATGTGCTAAATTTTGTCCATAGTAAATCACAGAACATCAGTTGTGTACATAGCTCAAATGGTGGTTTTGCTTGAAGTGCCTGCTACACTGCAAGATCTACTAGTGTTCTGACTGCTCTTGATATGAACCAGGAACTATATCTATCGCCGTTTTATTCTGACAGGCACGTTCCAAGACTCATGCAGCCCTAAGAGAGCTGGGCTGACCACCAAACATTTTGGGCGAATCCATCTGTTGCACTTTTCTATATTAGTGTCGAGACCAAATGTAAGCTCTGTTAGTTCCCAGAGCTGTAACAATAGTGTTTACTGATTATGATTAAGAAGTTAGCACACAGGATCACGTACGAAAGTTGTAACTGTTTTCAAGCGAGACGCAAAACTCGATCAATTTCGAATAGCTTACTATTCTTCTTCAGGAGAATATTTATTTGTTTCCTGAGAACATTTATTCATCTGAAAAAGAATAGTGAATTGTTCAAAAGCGCTCGCGTTTTGGGTCTCGTTTGTTTTTTGATTCTCTTGCACTTTCTGAGCTGTTGTATAAAATCAGTAGTCATGTATACTTTGCTACTCAGAAATGGTATGGACAGTTCACTTGAAAGTGATTCAATGTTACACAGGCAAAGTAAATGTTTTGCTCTTATCTTCCAGGATGGTGTCTGGATGGAAGAAACATCAATTTAGGCTATGAAATGAAAACCATGGGAGGACTTGGATAGCCTTGCCCAGTCATTTGGTACCAGTGTGGTTGCATTGCAATGGTGAGTTGTATGATTGGTTCATCCTCAGCTGGATTCGAGCTTGGCATGATGTTAGTGTTTGGGTAGGATGGTATGTACAAGATATAGCCACTAAGCTCCCACTGTAGGCTTCTTTCTTTCTTGCGACCAAATCAGAGTTGCCACTTCTTACCTCATCACTACAAAAAACAGCCTTGGTAATAGTGAGAATACCTCTCACACCCAGGTGATCCATCATGTCTCACTGGGAATCCCTTCCACAAACATGTCGACAAGGGTATCTCCACGATCTGCTGAAACCATTTCAGTGTACAATTTACCATGCAAAGAATACAGGTCGTCCTCGTAAGCAGCCAAGTTTGTTGTGACACACATCTTCTGAGATTTCAACACGGCCCGATTATTTACCCAATGTTTCATCAGGTCGAACCCTTGCAACTTGGCAAAGAGTGTCTTGCAGTCCCTAAGTTGTACCTCAAACACACCAGGAAAATGTCATAGCACCCTTATGTAGGAAAAAAAAATGTGCAAGCACACCAGTCAGAGTTATATATATATATAAAGAACTGCATGCATCTGTAACAACAGATACATGTGCTCCGACTATCGAACGACGGTCTCTTCGCGGCGTCCTCTGCAGACTTGGGTCGGCATCTTTCATGTCTCATAACATCTCACTCAGTGTGTTTCATCCAAATTCGTTTGGCTTTAACATTTTCATCGTGCGGGATGAAGAGGAACTAAAGTTTCTGACCGTCCTGGGTTGTCTTCTAGGCCCTGTATTTTCTTTAAGGCTTGAAAGATTTTTAAACTTAAATTCCTACCATGAATTTTAATTTGATATATATATATATAGTTATAATGTGCAGTTATGTATTTTAAAGATCACTGCTCTACGTTTTGCTACCGCATATGTATGAAATAAATTCCTTATCCATAAATCTAGCGCAATTTGTAATAAGCTCCCCTGATCCAATGAATAGTATCCAACCTTTCCCTGGTGGTGAACTCCGTTTGTTCGCTTCCTACCTTATTTGGTTGAGGAATCGTAAAAATAAAGTGTTGTGAGAAAGGAATGATTCACTAAAGGTTAGGATTATGTACGTTAATTTGCGTTTGAAGTTAGAGGCTGACAAATTTTAAAATATAACTTATTTCATATGATGATTTCTCACAAATACAAACTATAATATGATGTCGTAAGGTTAACTTACACTTATAGTTTAACTTTAAACTTAAAGCCTTAAGTTAGGGGAATTAACTATTTAATAATCAGATATTTTTGTGTTTCTTAATTTGGTAAGTGGAATACATATTGTAACAAGTTAAGCGAAGTTTGCATTTGAGAGTGAAAAGCTAGTCATTCAAGATTTTGAGTTTCAATTACTGATAGCAGGTGAAATTTTAGTCACTGTTAGTGTTATTAATATTATGTTATAACTTATAGAAACTACTAGTGGTAGAATAACGTAAGCCTATTCCTTGACATCATGGTCAACAAATTTGGTAATATTCATGAATCATAGTCACGCTAATACTCGGAATTCATGTTAAAAAGAAAGATAATAATATAGTGCAATTTTCTGAAACTTGGTTAGATTTTGAAAATATTGATAACACTTAATAGGTTTATGAGTTATTTGATAGTAATACGTTTTACAAGAGTGGGTGGGGTACCTCTGTATACGGGATGAACTGCATATTGAGTTTGTCGTTATTAGTGTTGTGTTCTTCAGATTTATGTAGGAATGTAAACATTAATTGCTGAGTAAAAAATTTTCGTCTCATATAGCTCTCATTTTCATTTACTATTCAGAAATGTGAAAGTAAGGAAAAATTTTATTATGTTTGTTGACAGAGGTTGGGAGTCTGGACATCAATGATCAGACAAGAGACTTAATGTCCATTAATTTACAGAAAATGTAATATTTAAAATCTAAAGCTTGTGGGGAATGTAATGAACTAGGTTGAGAGTTATCTGCTTGGGCTTATTAAGTTTTAAAGTTCCGCTACAGTGGTAGCTCAGTTGATAGAGTATTTAATTTCAAAGCAGCTGCATGAATTAAAACAGATTAGTTTTTGTTTTTGAAGTACAAACACCTGTGAGTATTGAGATCTATAAATAATTCCATAAATGTATACTGTGATAAGAAGAAAACTTGTTTTATGAAATACATCTTGAAGTATAGGATATTTGTGAGGTGAAACCAGATTTTTTGTTAGTCAGAATTGTCTACGTGTATCATGACAAAAAAAAAAGTATCTTGAAAGGAAAGGATTATAGGATTTAGGGGTGGAAAGGAATCTGTTAAATTTTATCTGCATACTTATTGAGAAGCTCCTTCCACAATTTATTTTTGGAGATTAATATGAATTTGTCTGCAAAATTTATTAGAATAAAATTCTGTTAATAAAGGCCATCAAGCCTTGTGTGAAAGGTACAATGCAAACCAAATTCAAAAACCAGATTAACATGTTTCTGAATTATGATACAAATTCTGATATAAATGAAAATGAGTTGTTTATCCTTCTCCATCAGATATGTTTTAGGAACCAGTGAAATGCTTTTCCTGATGTTGCCGTTCATAATTAAAATAAAGTGGTGTAGTGGTTATGGAAAGACTTTTCTTAAATAGTTCTTGTATTATTGTTAAGTTAGAGTATTCTTGAAAAAAATAACTTTGTTTTTAATTTATATGACAAAATTTGTTTCCATTAGAGTTGTTTAGAGTGAATTGTTTTCTAACATAGGGTTACATTGTTTTTGAAACAATTTTATGTAAAGTAAGACATAACTCTCTGGCTTTATATCATTTTATTTTTAAAATGTTTGACCTCATGAAAGGAACATCTTCATGTATAACTTTTATTTTTCTTACATTGTACAACTGTTTCCAAAGATTTTACACAGTATTTGCGTACAAATTAGTACACACATAAATACATGGTAAATACAAAATAAAGGGGGTTAGAAAACTTGTTTTTAATACAAATGATATTAGAATTATTTACATCCTATTATACATAGTAGCAGCAAGTACATGAAAATTCTTTGTGGTTTTTAATACTTTGCTTGTTACAAAAATTGATCATAATCTTATATAATGGTTATTTATAATTATAGAGTTTTATTATAGATAAACTTGAGAAGGTGTTAATAACTTTAGATTTTTATTACAAATAATCCTATGATGGCTGTTTATTACTGTAGGTTTATATTATGGATAAGCCTGTGTTGGCTGTTTATAACTAATTCTTATTATGGATAAGCCTGTGATGGCTGTTTATAACAGTGATTTTTGTTATGGATAAGCCTGTGATGGCTGTTTATAACTGTAATTTTTATTATGGATAAGCCTGTGATAACTGTTTATAACTGTTTTTTTTTAGTATAGATAAGCTTGTTATGGCTGTTTATAACTAATTTTTATTATAGATAAGCCTGTGATGGCTGTTTATAACTACTTTTTATTATGGATAAGCCTGTGATAACTGTTTATAACTGTGTTTGTTATTATAGATAAGCTTGTTATGGCTGTTTATAACTAAGTTTTATTATAGATAAGCCTGCGATGGCTGTTTGTAACTGTAATTTTTATTATGGATAAGCCTGTCATGGCTGTTTATAACTGTAATTTCTATTATGGATGAGTCTGTGATGACTGTTTGTAACTGAAATTTTTATTATGGATAAGCTTGTAATGACTGTTTATAACTGTGGTTTTTATTATGGATGAGCCTGTGATAACTGTTTATAACTGTAGTTATGAACACAATACAGGTAAGTATAATATATATATATGAACACAGTACAGATAAGTATATTAAACTTGATCAAGGTAATGTAACAAACAGAAAATAAATATACTAAATAAAATTTTCAGAATGAGAAATAACAATTCTACATCTGACAGTAAGAATGAAAATCTGGTAGCAAGATCCAAATTTATAAAAAACAATCATCTTCAGTTCTCAGTCTTTTTAAACATTTTGGTATAACTGTAGATGAATGGAAAACCATATATATATATATTATTTAAATTAAAACAACAGTCTTATGATAAGGCTATTTAATAACATAGAATATTTTCTCATGGAAATATTATGCTGCAGGTAAAAGTATAATTACTGAAGGATGCGTCATTGAAATACTTAAACAAGATCTCCAACTGTACTATACAACTTTTGACTTGTCTCCAAACCTAACCTACAAAAGTTTGTAAATAAAATGAAATACCAGCCAGTTACAGAGTATTTGGAATTTTTCAAGAACAATGACATCATTTTGTTAAGCTTTGATAACATAAATAATTTCCGTAGCATGTACAGAAGTGAAAACCAAGGCTGAACAAAACATCATCACAAAAGCCTTAGTGAAATAGTCCATAATTGTGATTAAAAAATAAACCTAGAAACTAAAAGGATCAACTTGGTGAATAATAATTTCATTGCTAATTCAGTCATTTTCATTCACAATGAATAATAAAAATTATATTTAATTTAATAAAATTTTTGCACGGTACATGTTGTTGAAATGAAGTAACTACTTGCTTACATCGTATACCTGACAAAGAAGCATTTCATACTGCTGGTTTTTATCTTTCTTTGAGACTTCACTGGATTAAAAGGAATTTACACCAGAAATGCTGGAGTACACTATTTTAGGGATGACTAAGAAAAATTTTCATAATGTAGTACAACAACCATAGAATCTTGTCAAGTTCAAGATATAAACACTTGACACTGAACAGCAGTGTTTCATTAGGATGTAAAAACATCATAAATGTGAAAAGAAATATTTATACTAATTGCAAATCATCAAAACTAATTTTATCATAGCCAAATTCCAGTATTTCTTATTATAGTTTGTTTTATACATTATTTAAAGATTGAAGAATTAGTGAAAGATATGAAATAATACAAGTTGATCTTTATGGTTGTTTAATAATTAATAAAAATTACAGATGTTGCTATGTACACTGCACTTGTAAATTTTGTAGGGATTGCTATGTGTTTTGTGGCCGTCTCGTCCTCTTCCAGAAAAGTTTTTGGTAGAGGAAGAAACTGGAATGTAGTGCCATCTGCTGTACACATATACAATTACATTATCATAGTGCTTTGTTGGTTGCATGTCTGGGAGTCAAGCTTTTATGTTTAGGAGCATTGAATATAGTAATCTAATTTAGCATAAGGTTTTACATTAACTGGATTGGATCATAATACTTTAAAAGATGTTTTCAATGATAATATTGTGAAGTTTGTTATTTAATGTACTTCTTGAGCAATCTACTTTAATGTGTTCAAAGTAAAAACTGTGATTCCACTTCACAAAGCTTTTACAAGAAAGCCTTCAATAATTTTCTTCTTTAGCATGTTTGTAAACAAGATTTATTATATATATATTGGCATACTGCAAGTCAGTTCATGAATGTAACTGTCACTAATTTTGACATTTGAAAGACAGTAATGGGGAATAATAAAGTTATGGATCATTATATATTTCTTTTAACTTTTTTTTACACAAGCTAAAAACTTGAAAAATTAGACTGTTCTTTACATTATTAAGTCATGAAATATCATCATTTGTCCTGCTATTTCATTTGCTATAATGAATTTATGCACTGTTGGTTTTAAACACTCTGTGAACTGTTACATATAGTTATATTTTTATGCTTTGTTTACATATATATTAAATATTCCTCATTTCAAAAATTTAGAAAAATAGTTTATTTTCGATAGATTGCTGAAATCTGTATGTTTACCTACAGGTCAGTTGATATTTGATGGATTACTGAAGCCTGTATGTGTACCTACAGGTCAGTTGATATTTGATAATTACTGAAGCCTGTATGTGTACCTACAGGTAAGTTGATATTTGATAATTACTGAAGCCTGTATGTGTACCTACAGGTCAGTTGATATTTGATAATTACTGAAGCCTGTATGTGTATCTACAGGTAAGTTGATATTTAATAGATTACTGAAGCCTGTATGTGTATCTACAGGTAAGTTAATATTTAATTGATTACTGAAGCCTTTATGTGTACCTGCAGGTAAGTTAATATTTAATAGATTACTGAAGCCTTTATGTGTACTTACAGGTAAGTTAATATTTCATAGATTACTGAAACCTGTATGTGCTGTCTTTTTATTTTTGCTTTGTTTTTATAGGTTTGGGAAAGTGAGTTGCAACACTGACTAGCTTCTACAACATCTAAAGTAAGTTTACTGCTGAAAACAAACATAAGCTTCTGTATATTGAACAAACCCTGACACAAGGCTTCTTTTGTTCACTATTAACATTGAAGGTTAAGTTCAGTGAATTTAGTATGAGGAATTGAAGACAGTTTGTTGATATTTTATCAATTTTAGAATGTATTGTAAACAATTTTAAAAGAAATATTTAGTTTAGTGGCTGATTTATAACCAAATTGCTGTTTATGTGCGAGTAAGAAAAGTTTGAAATTGTTATATTTATTTTATTAATTACAGTTCTCTCTCTTTAAATCACATTGTGTAGAATGTTACTGTTCTTAAGTATTACTAAAGGATTGGCATGCTGGTGTTCTACAGTAGTGTCTTATCAGAGTACAAGAACTGACATACAGGTGTTCCACTGTAGTGTTATCAGTATACAAGAACTGACATGCTGATGTTCCACACTAGTGGCTATCAGTATACAAGAACTGACATGCTGTGTTCCACACTAGTGTCTATCAGTATACAAGAACTGACATGCTAGTGTTCCATAGTAGTATTTACTAGTATACAATTACTGACATGCTGATGTTCCACAGTAGTGTCTATCTGTATACAATTACTGACATGCTGATGTTCCACAGTAGTGTCTATCAGTATACAAATACTGACATGTTGGTGTTCCACACTAGTGTATATTAATATACAAGAACTGACATGCTGATGTTCCACAGTAGTGTCTATCAGTATACAAGAACTGACATGCTGGTATTCCACACTAGTGTATATTAGTGTACAAATACTGACATGTTGGTGTTCCACACTAGTGTATATTAGTATACAAGAACTGACATGCTGATGTTCTATAGTAGTATTTACTAGTATACAGTTACTGACATGTTGGTGTTCCACACTAGTGTCTATTAGTATACAAATACTGACTTGCTGGTGTTCCACAGTAGTGTCTATCAGTATACAAGTACTGTCATGCTGATGTTCCACACTAGTGTGTATTAGTATACAAGAACTGACATGCTGATGTTCCACACTAGTGTCTATCAGTATACAAGAACTGATGTTCCATAGTAGTATTTATTAGTATACAATTACTGACATGCTGGTGTTCCACAGTAGTGTCTATCAGTATACAAATACTGACATTCTGGTGTTCCACCTTAGTATCTATCAGTTTTAATCTATTCTTTGCAAGAAGGATCTAAGATAAAATGTGACCTGCTAAAAATATTTTTTTCAATTTTAATTATAAGTTGGTATGAGGTATCGGTTTACGATTAGAGATTACATTATTCTAAATTACTGATTAACTAGCCTAATAAATCTAAGAAAATCAAACTCCTAGGTTTTTCAGTTGTGTATGTAAGAAACAAATAGTGGTTTCAGTGTGTTACAAACAGTTGTGGATTTAATGGTACTTTCTTTACCAACATCTAGGAAGTTTGTAACTGATGTAATTATTACTTACGAATATTAATGTAACATTGATATTGTGTACCCTTCATGTAATATTGATGTACCCCTTAAAATGTTTGTAGCAATGTTGGAGGATGTCACATCCAAATTTGTATATAACATCGTCCAAGCATCAGTCTTTGAAACAACAAATAGCCCAAACTCACCTAGCATACTTGAATCAAGAAGAAACACCTGATAAACTAGAGAAAAGGAGAAATCTTGAAACTGCAATTGTAGAATTTTTGTCCATAGCACCTAATCATGAGAAGTTCACCTTTCCAGAGTTTGAGAAAGTTTTTCGCAACAGTGTGATAGGAAACCCTAACTTTAGTGGCTATAAGGCTGCCTTAGCTTTCCAGGCCTTGGAAAAATATGCCACTAATTTGTTGATCCATCCATGGAGACGAGAGTACAAAGTTATTAAGGTATGTAGACTTTTAGACATGCATTAACTCTTTGGTTATCAAGTAATCTGCAGATCAAAACCAGGGATTGCTACAATGTCAAAAGATCATTTACATTTTATTTTCTTATTCCTCACTTTCCCAAGTGACATGTTGGGTATTTTATATCAATAATTTTATTCACCACTTCTTCAGTAACTGATTACAAATAAAGAAACTAATAATTTACAGATATTTTTGTAGCAAACTCACTGTTGCCTAACACAGGTTTACTGTGAACAATAAGTAATGTCCACACTTTTTTAGCCTTACTTTTCTTGTAAATCAAAAAAAAAATCTTTTGAACCCATAAATCCTAAATGAACCATTTAACTATGCAGACTTAAGTGACTGTGGATTGTAGGTATCATATAACAAACTATAATCATTTAAATACATACAGTAATTTAAGACATGTAGTAAAAATATTATATGTGATTCAGACTTGTTCTAAAATTTCTTAATGAGAAAATTACAAAGGCAGCAATAGAAAATTCTAAGTTCACTTTTTCATCTTTCGATTTAGCATAAGATACTGCATTGCCAGTAAGTTGAACCAGATATTTACTATAGTAATCTTATTTAATAGTGGGCATATGTGGAATAGTAGTTGTCTGACTTGTAGATCTGAAATTAGCAGTTGAAACAGACATACCTGAAACACAACAGTTGAAAGTTTATTGTTCTACTAGCTGTCTGACTTGTAGATTTGAAACTAACATACCGGAAACAACAACAGCTGAGAGTTTATTGGTCTATTAGTTAGGTTGAGATGAACTAAAGCCCTGTAAAGTAACATCATTGAATACAGTGTTAGGTTGGGATAAACTAAAGCCCTTTAAAGTAACATCATTGGATACAGCATTAGGTTGGTATGAACTAAAGCCCTGTAAAGTAACATCATTGGATACAGCATTAGATTGGGATGAACTAAAGTCCTGTAAAGTAACATCATTGGATACAGCATTAGATTGGGATGAACTAAAGTTCATTAAAGTAACATCATTGGATACAGCATTAGGTTGGGATGAACTAAAGCCCTTTAAAGTATAAAATCTGTTTAAAATTTTTAACAGAGTTCTCTTTAATTTCATTATTTTTTCAGTACTATGTTCTCTCTAACAAATTAAAAAGTTTATATTTACTGTAAATAAATATTTTTGTGATCAGTTTTTGCTCCATCTGACTAAGAATGTGGGAAAAGTGTGATCATCAGTGAATTAGAAAGTTTAAGTGTGGGGTGTTTTCATAGTTAGAGAATTTAGTATTATCTTATTATAATTGCATGTCGTGCATATCCTTCTAGCTGTTTAGAAGATTGAACTAGTGTATAACATGAAAATAATAAATGTTTATGGTTTATTAAAAGTTAGTATATTGAGGTTTGAACTGTACAAAATTAGTTAATTTATGTAATTCATCAGTTATTTAGTGGGTTCTACCGTCACTTAGTACAAAGGCAGTTGCCAGGTGCTGAGATTTTTTTCTTGCTGATGGGTTACAATCAAGCAGAAGATGGTGTTCTGTTTCAACAGGGACCAGTTGACCCAGATCAACTTAGTCACATTACCCTTGATTGTTTGATTGCTTTTGTTGAGTGCCAGGTAAGCTGTTTGGACATAACCAAGTTAACATGATCTAAGAATATACCTGAAGGAAATAAATTTTACTGTTTTACCGTTTGTAAATAATGTGAAATCTTAAATATTATGCCCCATATGAATATATGGCTTTGAATGAAGTACAAGGATTCTTTTGATTTACAACTGAAAATCATGTTCATGTAACGTTAAACACGAGCTTCAAGTTGAGGTGCTTAACTAATAAAGTATCGTATAATAAAGTTTCATGATGTAGAACTTGTATTAGAACTACCATAATACACTGACTCTTTTATACAAAAGTGGGTTCTTAGAATGGCCAGTATTTTAAAGCAAAGTTTTATTCATTGTTTCGACATGTTGAATAGTTTCATATGGAATATTCCTGCTATCTTTCTAGTTTTGGTGGTGATGTTTCAGACTGTGTTGAGTTCTTCATTTGGTCTGATCTAAAAGAATGGTTAAAATACACTCAGTAAAGATTAAATATTATTGTTAGAATACTGTAAAATTCAGTTGCCCTGCTAAGATTATTTCAATTCACTTTAAGTTTAATACACTGTGTATGTCATTGGAAAGCTTTGTAAATATGAAAATTAAAGGACTTGTGCACATAAATACAAAAACATTTTATTGACAACTAAGTTCAGTGATTTATGTAATCTACTTAAAAAATATAAAATTCATGAGTTTCAATATTGTTTTATATTAATAATGTTATTAATTAATCCACCTTTAGTGTGTTACTTTGTTTTGTAACTTAATACTTACTAGTACTTGTTGCAAGTTTTAGATTATACTGTTCTTGGGAAATATGAAAATTTGTACTAGTTGGCTGCCAAATAGATATTAATATCCAACATAATGAATGAAAAACAAATACATTTTACAACCCTTTGTTGAAACTCATTTTCTGAATGTCTTTTTTTTTGTGGATATAATTTATGAGCTGTTCTGAGGAAAGAATTATTGTGGTAATTTTTATATATTCAAATAGATATTTATGCTTTGATTTTGTCCAAAAATGGTTATAAATTGCAGGAAATATAGTTAATCAGTTAACACTATAGACTAATTATATATTAATATCAACTGTATTGTTGTTGTTTTGTAAGACTGTGAAAGTTTTTTTGTGTGTTTATTTGACAATAAATGTAAAAGTAAGTTCACCTTGAAGTTGTGCCATGTTAATGATGTAGATGAAAGTTATGCTATTAAACTATGAAATAGGCATGCCTACCTATCAAAAGACTTTTCAGGTTTATTGAACCTTGATTGTCAGTAAAGTAATATTTCTTTTAAAATCAGATCATGGTCGAAGTTTATGAAAGTCTGAGGATGTCTGAATGTACGTGGAATGAGATATACAAGATTAGAGAAAACTATGTAGCTGGAGTTGCTGAGTGTGTTCGTATCTTGCAGCAGTTAAAACTGGCCAGTCAAAGAAGTAGTAAGCATCATCATCAGTTGTCTAGTTTGGAACATGTGAGGAAAAGAGGCACTAAAATGTGTGATTCAGGGTCATCCCCACAAACTGGAATACTAGTAGACATAGGCAACTCTCAGCCATATGAAAAACCTGATACACCTTTATCTAAAAGTATTTCTTTGAAAACTCATTCACGGTCATGGTCAGATGGGCCACAGAATAACTTCTTGTATGTTGATGGACATGTAGCAGGAAGTCCTGGAAGACAAACTTTGGGAAGCTTTAATGACCAAAGTATAAGTAACTTTTACCCATGTGTAAGTCAAGCTACTCAAGTACAGCAAAACCCAGTCTGTGGCTATTCTCAAAATATTTCTCATGGGCAAAACCATGATTCTTGGGATTTGCTTTCGACATCTGGACACTGGAATTCTGGCCCTGCAATTTATCCTTCTTCTCACTTTCCAGCTCTACATCCTGGAGTTAGCTATCCTTATAGTCCTGTTCATCATTGTTCTTGCCAGAACTACCTCCCTACAGCCATTCCTAGCCATAGATTGATCCTAGAGAGACCATTTTATGAAGATCTAGGACAGAATGGACCCTCACAACTTATACAAGGTCAAGATCAACATAAAAGTATATTTACAGCTGCTAATACACCACATATGGTCAGTAGATCAGGCTATATGTATACTGACTATGACAGATCAGAGCTTCTAGATTCATTGATGGATCTGAGAGTTGAGCCACAAGGAAGTCAAGAAGTTCTCCAACTGAATGACACTTCAGATGTTCTTATGCCTTATAAAAAAGATTCCCACAATCCTGAAAATCTTTCAGATCAGAAAGTTGATAAATTGCGAGATAAAGATAAACAGACTGTTGATGACATGTCTGGCAAAACTAGCGAGAAAATTGAGAATTTACCTAAAGCTGAGAATCAAACATTACAACAAATTGTTAGTATTCATGATCAGAATTATGGTAATGTGTCTAACCAAAAGATTCCTAAGGATAATAGTTCTTGGAATGGAGAAAACACAGTGTATGATAACATTTCTATGAGAGACAGTCAGAAAGTTGACTATCCTTCAGGGAGAGAAGTCAAAAGAAGGGAAATTAACATATCTGGTAGTAATTCCTCTCATGGTCAAGATAGATGTACAGATCGACAGAAGAGAAACAGCTTATATGACAATGTACAGCCAGATAACCCTATACAAGCTACTCCTAAAACTGGTGGGTTGGTGGTTCCATCAGGAATTAAAATGGAAGAAAATGAAATGGTTTTGAAGAAAACAGGCAGTAACAAAGAAGCACCTAGTAAGACCAGAAAATGGTCATGTCAAGCTTGTACATATCTCAACCCATCTGAAAAAGATATCTGTGAAATCTGTAGCCGTAGCAAGTTTCGTGGGGCTGAATCCACTCCTTTGGTAAGTGGAGGACGAGAATGCCCTCTCTGCACTCTTGTGAATGAAACAAATGCAGAATACTGTTCTGCTTGTGATACTTACCTCGAAGATTGTCCTACTTACATTTAAATTACTCCTACAGTTCATTCTTGGCTTCAGTCATCAGAGGTTTGTTTGGCTTCTTCCTACCTGTAACTGTAGTTAGTTTCTTTGTTATATTTTAGTGTTGTAGATATTACACTAGTATTGTTTCTTCTGGACATATTGAAGTGTTACTGTATATGTTTAGTGTATGTATACATGAATCTCATAAAGAAATAATTATTGAATTTCATTAAATCAATAAGGATCAGATATAAGAATTGAACATTTATTGAAATGTAGAGGCTATTCACAACAACTTTGAGTGTAATTTGAGAATCAGTATTAATATCAATTTTTAAATACTGAAATAAATACCTGATTTTACTTGTGTATTATCTTTCAAAAAATAAAGTGAAGGAGGTAATATTTTTCTAAGTCAAGTAGTGTTAAAAGGCACTTATTAAACGATATTATACAAACAAAACTGAGTAGGTTAAAAACTAAAATTTCTTTCAGTTTAATGTGTACCTTATCATGCAAGGATTTGAAAACTGACACGTGGTTCTATTTATGAGGAATTTAAATTTCAAATATGTAATTTGTGCCACAACAGATGTGACTTAATTCAGTCAAACTTTTGTTGCCTTAGGCAAACTTAATATTTAAACAACATTGATAATATGGTTAAGGAATATTCAAACAATAAATATGTTGGTGTGTAAGCTATATATCAGTATGTAGACAACAAGTATTTGTATATTGTGGTTATATAATAGCCAGATTATAATGTGTTAGTCTGGAGTAAGTACTATACAAACTCTGTGTCAGTCTCTAGATAAGTAATATTAAAAAACAATATCTGCTGATCTCCAGGTATAGTATAATCACAGTAATCTGTGTCAGTCTGTGAATAAATACAATCACAATAATCTGTGTTAGTTTGTATAAGTATCATTCAAACCATACATGTCTCAACTTTTGAGTTACTTGTTAACAAGAAATAAATAATTTTTCCATCCTGAAAGAGCAATGTGTGTGTGATCTACGAATCAAAAGTGTAATTGTTTTCAACACTAATATTTTCTGATATCAAACAAAGTAATAGTCTGTTTCATATATTAATATGTTTCTATTGATTTTCATCAAGCTGGGTTTAGGTAGTCTTTGTTAACCTATTTTCATGCTATTTCTCTTAATCTACAGTTTTTCTGCATCATGCCAGAAGATTATAAAAGTGAGGCAATGATAGAGTATCATAATATTGGAAGTTAAAATTCAAGACCTGTGTGGTTGTATATCTACATAAATATACTTATTACCACCAGCTCCAGGGGAAAAGTTTATATAAGGTGACCAGAGCATACACCACCAACTTCACATGCTCTTATAAAGTTGTTAAACTAGCCATTTTATCTGTTAATCTTGTTAAAACTGTGCACCATTTATACTCCAAGTGAAGATAATTCATGTTTATAACACCAATCCCAAAAAACTCTACACGAAATTACATAGTTTTTGAGTTAAACTTTTAAATTTCCCTAGAGCTGTTCTGCACATACACCATTTTCACTTAAGAAGTTACTTTATGGATTTCCTATATTACTGTACTTATAATTTTTACAACTGCCTTCTCAAATTATGCCTGTGTGTGGTTTATGCTTGGCTGTTTTCTGGTATCAGGTATGTATGGTTTAACCTTTACAGAGCTGTCTTATGGCATCAGGTGTGTTTGGTTTAACCTTTACAAAGCTGTCTTCTGGTATCAGGTGTGTGTGTTGTTTAACCTTTACATAGCTGTCTTCTGGCATCAAGTGTGTATGGCATAATCTTTCCACAGCTGTCTTCTGGCATTAAGTGTGTATGGTTCAACCTTTCCACAGCTGTCTTCTGGCATTAAGTGTGTATGGTTTAACCTTTACAGAGCTGTCTTCTGGTATCAGTTGTGTTTGGTTTAGCCTTTACAAATCTGTCTTCTGGCATCAGGTGTGTTTTGGTTTAGCCTTTACAAAGCTATCTTCTGGCATCAGGTGTGTTGTGGTTTAGCCTTTACAAAGTTGTCTTCTGGCATCAGGTGTGTATGGTTTAACCTTTACAAATCTGTCTTCTGGTATCAGGTGTGTGTGTGGTTTAACCTTTACATAGCTGTCTTCTGGCATCAGGTGTGTATGGCTTAACCTTTACGGAGCTGTCTTCTGGCATAAGGTGTGTTTGGTTTAACCTTTACAAAGCTGTCTTCTGGTATCAGATGTGTATGGTAGAATCTTTACATAACTATTTTCTGGCATCAGGTGTGTATGATTTAACCTTTACAAAGCTGTCTTCTGGTATCAGGTGTGTGTGTTGTTTAACCTTTAGATGCCAGAAGACAGCTATGCATACACACCTGATGCCAGAAGACAGCTCTGTAAAGGTTAAACCATACACACCTGATGCCAGAAGACAGCATGTGGAAAGATTATGCCATACACACCTATAGAATCTTTACAGAGCTGTCTTCTGGCATCTGGTGTGTATGGCTTAACCTTTACAGAGCTGTCTTCTTGCATCAGGTGTGTATGTATAATATCTACATAGCTGTCTTCTGGTATCAGGTTTGTATAGCCTAACCTTTACAAAGCTGTCTTTTAGCATCAGGTGTGTATGGTATACTCTATACATAGCTGTATTCTGGTATGTATAGTCTGTCTGTTGTGTATGGTTTAACCTTTACAGAACTGTCTTCTGGTATCAGGTGCGTATGGTTTAACCTTTACAGAACTGTCTTCTGGTATCAGGTGCGTATGGTTTAACCTTTACAGAACTGTCTTCTGGTATCAGGTGTGTGTAGTTTAACCTTTGCAGAACTATCTTCTGACATCAGGTGTGTATGGCTTAACCTTTACTGTCTTCTAGCATCAGGTGTGTATGGTATAATCTTTACAAAGCTGTCTTCTGGTATTACTTGAAATAAAATTAAAAAAATCTACTTGCAGTTTAGACGAAAACATGAATTTTAGTAAAACAGACTAATCAAAATCTTCTTCATGGTAGAACAGAGAATAGGGATATTTAGTAATTAAGTTGAGAGTCTAAGCCCATATTGTCTTTATGGTTGGCTAATTTCTTGGTTTGGGTCAATGTTTTCAAGCTATGTTCCCATCAGTGAGATGCTGATAAGTTGATCTCCAGTCACTCTTCAGAAGATGCATTGCTAAGAGGATACATGCTTGTAAGATGGATTATTTTAATGGTTATGCTGTAATTATATTCTTCAGTTTCCCTCTGCCATACTGAAAAGTTTGAATTGCCTTAAAGTAATGATTTTTAAAATCATTGAATTCACTGTTGGCTTGGTTTATATCTCAACCAGTGCTGTATAATATTGTCAAGTGTCACATTCTGTTCTTCATTGACATGATGAATCAAGGCTGGTGTTGTGTGGCCAATTTTTTATTAAAAACATTGTAAAATAGGTATTCATGGATGTGTAAAAAACTGCTAGTTGGAACACAACAGTATTTATAAAAATGTGCAAGTTGTGTGATAATTAAGGAAACTGATTCATGGTTAAGGAAAACAAAATAAGACATTTATTAATAATTACAAATTGTTATACAATTAGGACAAACATACAGATTAATGATTTTAACTATAACAAACAATATTAATTCCTCAAAAGAAACTGTGGTTTATTAAAAAGTATAGTTCATAATAGAACAATAATACACCCACATATATTAAATACAGATGTTATTAATTATTCAATATTTAAGTAGGGAAAACTTACTGAGAAGTCAAAGCTTATTACATTCTGCTGTCTATGGGCTGCTAATGTCTGTCAAATGACTATCTAATTTCTAGGGGTTATACTCTGAATTTTGTATATAATTAATGTGTGTGAGGATCATCTAATATGGTTATGTATTTCATTCAAAAGTTTCTCAAATCAAGGTGGTGATGTTAGTTATGCATGTGAACCAATCATGTTATTTTTTCACTAGTTCTGGTTCTGTTTTTTTCAAGCCACCATGCTCTTGTGTTACGGCTCTAAGCTCTATTTGTTTCTAGACTATTGCTCTGATACTTTGAACTTAGGTAGATTTCAACCTTGTTTCCGTCTCATACTGTTTAGTATTTCATCATATATTATAACACTTCCTGCAGTAATTCAGATCATGTAAATGTTTATCTGAAGGAGTTACTATCCATCCTAGATTGTATCTGGTTCCTTCCTACATTTGTTTCCAACTAAGCTACATGTGTTTGTAATGTAAAGTGTTATTTTTTCCCAAAAGTATATGTTGTAACTTAAATAATAAATGTGTTTAAAGTTATTAGTTGTTTATACTTTAAGTATTTACTTGTGAAATATGCTTAATAATTTAATTTAACATTTATTAATTTGATTATGCTCTAAATCCAATCATTTCATATGTTTTTCAATATAGCTTATATGTAATCAATTATTGACTGAATTATTATTATTCTCTTAGCTTCTGGACTGTTGTCAACATTTGCTATTATGTTTTGTAGTGTGTGTTCATTGTAATGATGACCTTCTAAATCATTTTCAAACTTCTGTAAATATTTTGAACTACTCACGTGAGAGATACTTGAGCACTTTGTAATTTTGTAACACCACTTTTGATGTCTTCTTTTCTAAGAATCAGATCTTGGAAACTTTGTGTTACTGGAATTTTCTTACAGTACCCTTTCTTTTGTTGCTATTATCCCCACTGAATTTCACCAGATGCATAATTGTGATTTTCTATCTTAAAATGAGTTTGGAAGTGTTTGTTGTCCAACCACGTGATTCATTGAATTGTTCCTCATGTTTCTTTGTATGCCTAAAGTGTTTGTTGTCCAACCACGTGATTCAGTTAATTGTTCCTCCTGTTTCTTTGTGTGCCTGTTCCTCCTATTTCTTTGTATGCCTAAAGTGTTTGTTGTCCAACCACGTGATTCAGTTAATTGACAGGTGAAATTCTACAGCTTTTGTCTTTGATAGTTTGTCCAGTTTCAGAAACTTGATCTTCAGTTGATATTTTCCAGAAATTGTACCATTATCCATTCTTCCTCATTATAAGGTTTGTCAGTTGGCTCATTATTATACATGCTTATGAAATGTGTTATGTTTTCAAGTTATCAAAGTATTGCTACATGGTAGCTGACTCACCAACTCTTTGGTAGATTTATCATTGAATAAAGTTTCACCTGAGGACAGACCATTCAGATTCTGGAGTCTTAAGTAATCATTAAATGCTTTTTTTGCTTTGCTATGTAATAAGCAGTGCAGAACAATTTGTGTGTTATGTCTTCTTATCCTTTTTCTGAAACCCTTCCACAAAACTGTTGGTTTGTTTTTAGTAACTTTCTTTTGAGAAATTGTAGTAGCCAGTGCTTTCTTATGACACACAGATGACTAATGGCACTACATTTGCTAACTTTCTCCCAATAATGTTTTAATAGCCAGTCCCCCTCATAACAAACAGATGACATATGGTACTACATTTGCTAACTTTCTATCAAGAATGTTTAATAGCCAGTCCCCCTCATAACAAACAGATGACATATGGTACTACATTTGCTAACTTTCTATCAAGAATGTTTAATAGCCAGTCCCCCTCATAACAAACAGATGATTTATGGTATCTCATTTGCTAACTTTCTCCAAAAAATTTTTAATAGCCAGTCCCCCTCATGATACACAGATGACATATGGCATTTCATTTGCTAACTTTCTTCCAAGAATATTTTAATAGCCAGTCTCCCTTATAACACACAGATGACTTATGGTACTTCATTTGCTAACTTTCTCCAAAGAATGTTTAACAACCAGTCCCTCTCATGAAAATAAAGCAACAAATCACCACTTGTGTCATTAGACTGTGTACATAGAACCGTAATACAATACTCTTGAGAGCAACAAAGCACTCCCACAGAAATAAGCTGACTTACAATACGATGTGGAATTTATCAGCTTATGTATCCTATAGTGCTTACAATGAGAATTTTCCAGAATAATAAGATTGCACTTTGAATCTG